TGGGAGGTTTAGATCAAGGTTCATTTTTATAATATATCTTGTGTTCTGTAACCTTCCCAAACTCAGTCACCAGTTCTAGTACCTTTCATACAGGGTCCTTTGGATTTTCTACGTACGGGATCGTGTCAACTATGAGTCAGTTTTGCTGATTCTTTCCAGCCTGAATGCTCTGTTTTTTGTTGATTGCCCCAGCCGGAACCTTCAGAATTCTGTTAGTGAGAGTGTACATCCTTATGTTGTCCTGACGTTTAGGAGGGAAGGAAACATCAGTCTTTCACCAGTAAGTCTGGTGTGAGCTGTAGGTTGTACATGGGTGCCCTTTGTCAGCTTGAGGGAGTTTCCTTCTTTCACTGTGATAGTTCGCTTAGAGTTTTTATCTGAAATGGTTGTTGTCAAATGATATTTTCTGAATCTCTTGAGAAGATAATTTATTTTTCTCTTACTTTGTCAAATTAGTGAATTAGATCACTTGGTCTATGTGTTTGTATGTTTGGTTTGTTTTAAGAGATGAGGTCTTGCTCTGTCACTGAGGCTGGAGTGCTGTGGCATCATCGTAGCTCACTGCAGCCTCCTACTCTGGGCTTAACTGATCCTCCTGCCTCAGCCTCCCGAGTAGCTGGGACTACAGGCGTGTGCCACCACAACTGGTGATTTTTTCTATTTTTTTGTGGAGACAGGGTCTCACTATGTTGCCCAGGCTGATCTCAGAACTCCTGGGCTCAAGCAGTCTTCCCACCTCAGCCTCCCAGAGTGCTGGGATTATAGGTGTGAGCCACAGCATCCGGCCCAATTGGTTTGTTTAAATATTAAACCAACTCTGCCTTTCTGGGATAAACCTCACTTACACTGTTTATATTATCTTTTAAAGTATACTTTGGATTTGATTTATTATAATTTTGTTTAGAATGTTTACATTTATGTTAATTAGGGATATCAGTCTGTAGGTTTTTTTTTTTCTTGCAGTGTCTTTCTTTGCTTGGTTTTGGTATCAGGGTGTGACCTCAAAGAATAAGATTCATCAGTTTTGTTCACTGTGTTGAAAAAACAACTTTTGGTTTCATTGATTTCCTCTACTTTTCTGTTTCATCAGTTCTCACTCTGATTTATATTATTTTCTTTCTTTTGCTTGTTTGGGGTTTAATTTACTTTTTTTTTTCCCTCTAATTTCATAAGGATGCTGAAGACTTCTTCCCTGACACGGGTGCTTAGGGCTACACATTCCTTTTTTTTTTTCTTTTTTCTTTCTTTTTTTATTTCAACAGATTTAGGAGTAGGAGTGGTTTTTGGTTACATGAATGAATTGTGTAGTGGTGATGTCTGGGCTTTTAGGGCACCTGTCCGCTGAATGGTGCATGTGTATATCCAGCAGGTGACGTTGCCCTTCAGGTGTTGCTCAGTGACCTCCCACTCCTTCTGGTGGACTGTGTTTTCATTTTCTTTCAGTTCAAAATGCTCTCTAATTTCTCTTGATTTCTTGTTTGTCCCATGGTTTATTTAGAAGTGTATTGTTTAGTTTTCAAATGGTTGGGGATTTTACTAGATCTCTTTTTGTTATTGATTTTAAATTTCATCCTGTTGAGCTCAGAAAACATACTTTATTCTGACTTCAGTCATTTTAAATGTACTGAGACTCGTCTCACATCTTCACTATGGTCTGTCTTGGTAAGAGTTCTGTGTGCCCTGAGCGGGAGGTGTCTGCTGTTTTGGGGGGGTGGTCGGTAGTACCTGGTTGGGTCAGGTTTGTTGGCAGTGTACTTCAGCCTCACTGATTTTCTACTTGTTCTATCAGTCATGTAGGGAGGGGTGCTGAAATCTGTGACTACAATTTCGGAACTTTTTATTTCCCCTAGCAGTTCCATTGGTGTTTGGCTCCAGTACTTTGAGGCCCTTTTATTATATATTCTTTTTTCTGTAATCTGCTGTGCTATTAAAGTAGCCACTCCAACTTT